TTAGGATCAAATTGCTTTCCTTGTGAATCCTTCCATGTATTAAAGAACGAAAGGAGAGTAACAAAGCAGGGAGTTCCAAGCATCCATTTCCTACACTGGAGCAACCATTAATCTGACAAAAATGTTTCAGAATCAACTTTTTTTGGAATTCTGAAATCTAACCAAGACATACAACAAGTTGGAAAGTGCTAAATAAAGAAAGAGCTTGTTAAGTTTTGTTAAAACAGTGATGTAGTATTGCTGCTTACCTCCTACCACCACAATTGCCCTGCTCAGGAGCAGCTATGGGAATGATGGTCCACATTCATAGTACAGGATGCTCATGCCAGAGGGCAGAAATATAGACCTTATTCTCAAGTAACTGTGGTTGTGCATTTTTCCTGTCTGGTGGCTCCCTAAAATAATGATTTAGGGGCTTGTCTTTGTTTACTCCCCTCATAATTCTCTCATTGCTGGAGTGGCCTCCTGAATAGCATTTTAGGAAAGCACTTAAAGGCATACACTGTCCACAGCTGATTGTGGCAAGAGACAACAGAAGGGGCAAACAGGAGAGAGAATGAAAGCCTGGCAATGAAGAGGCTGGGGTAGAAGATACATAGGTAAATAAGAGCTTAGAAAATCTTCCACATACATCCCATAATCCAGAAAAGCATGATCATACCCAAGAACAGATCCATGCTCAGAAATACCTGAGACAAGTGTAAGCTCTGAAAATTAGGCCCCACTTAAGCAGGAAGTGAAGGTTAAGGCAAAACAGTAGTACCTGGCTGAGCCTTGAAGAGGCCCCAACTCAAGCCAGTCTTCAAAGACACACAACTACAACCCACAAGAACAAACCCCGGGGAGGGAAGAAGAGTAATATTTCCACAGTTACCACATTATAGTATTCAAAATGGCCAGTTTCAAACAAAAATTATGAGCTATGCAGAGAAACAGAAATTTTGGACCATTCATGGGTAAAATAAAGAAATTAACAGAAACTGTCCCCGAGGAAGTCCAGATATTGGACTTACTAGACGGAGGCTTTAAATCAATTGTCCTGATTGTGCACTAAATACTAAATAAAACCAGGGACAAAAAAACTAAAGAAAAACAGCAGAACTATGGCTCACCAAATAAAGAATATAAATAAACAGATAGAAATGACGAAATGCAAAAGAAACCGAACAGGACTTTGGGAAGGAAAACTACAGTAACTGAAATGAAGAATTCACTAGAATTCAACAGCAGATTTGAGCAGACAGCAGACTCAGTAAGCTTGAAAGTGGGTTAATTAAAATAATCCTGAAGATCAAAAGAGAAAAGAAATCAAGAAAAATGAACAGAACCTAAAGGACCTGTGGGACACCATCTATATATATAAAAGCCTAAGTAACTGTTTGTTCCACCATTCAACCATTCAACAGGTAGCTATGATGTGCACTGACCACCAGGGGGCAGATGCTCAATGCACAGGCATGGAAACATGGAACAGACTGATGAATCTCAGAAAGAAGGGGTGAGGGGGGAGGGTGGGAAGAGATTAACCAAAGATCTTATATGCATACTAAAGGTCTGGTGCACCCATTCGTGCACTGGTGGGGTCCCTAGGCCTATACTGTGGGAGTTGGGCTGAAACCAGCAGTCCAACATCCCCTCCAGGGGTCCTGGATAGCGAGAGGGCACAGGCCAGGCTGAGGGACCTCACTGGTGCTCAAATCTGTGCACTGGGCCTCTAGTGAATTATAACAACACCTGTATAATGAAAGTCCCAGAAGAAGAGGAAAAGGAGAAAGGGGCAGAAGGAATATTGAAAGGTACAGTAGCCAAAATTTCCTTAATTTGATGCAGTACATGAATCTACACATCTAAGAGGCTCAATAAAACTCTGAGATTAAACTCAAAGATCCACATTGAGAAACATTATAATCAAACTGTCCAAAGCCAACAATAAAGAATCGTGAACGCAACAAGAGAAGTGAATTGTCACCTACAAGAGAGTCTTAAGAAGATTACAGCTGACTTTTTAATCATAAGCCATGGAGGTTAGAAAGCATTAAGATGGCATATTTACAGTGCTCAAATAAAAACAAAAATGAACTGACAGCTAAGAATCCCTTAGATGAAACAACTATCCTTCAAAAATGAGTAATTGTCACATTCCCAGATTTTCATTTTTAAAAACGGGGCTCACAGAACTTGTTCCTGGAAGACCCATCGTACAACAAATGTTAAAAGTGGTTCTTCATGTGGGGAAATGAAAAGATGGTTACTCAAAGCTATGTAAACAAATAAAGAACTCTAGGAAAAGTAAATAGATACATGTATATATAAATCATAGATTTTTGTATATTTGATTTGTGACTCCATTCCTTTCCCAAGTATAATTTTAAAAACAAATGCATAAAACATTTTAAGTAAACATGTGAATGGTCAATGTGTAAAGATATACTTTGTAATAATAACAGTATAAGAGGGGCATGGAGATGTAGAGTTGTTCTGAATGTCATTGAAGCTAAGTTGCTATCAATTCAAACTAGTTTGTTCTGGGGAAGGACGGGACTTGGTTGGAAAGTCTGTAAGGAGGATTCTCTGAAAGTCAGGGGCCTCTAGTGGGACCTTGCTGAAGGCAGCAGCCCCTACCATGAATTTTCCAAACAAGTCTGAGCCCCCAAGTGTTTTACTGGAATCTCTATGTTTATTCTCAAGACCCCACCTTGTAGAAGCATGTGATTTCTCAAGGATACTTACCCTGCTGATAGTATCTAATGGTTAATTTTAGATCAAGCTGTTGTTACAATAAAAGTCTAAGGAGGCAGGTGAACGGGGTGGCCTGGTGCCTCTTGCCAGGCAGCCCCTTAGCCCTCTCTTTCACAGAAACGAGTGTCAGAGTAATCATTCATCTGTCGCTCAGGGTCTTCTGGTCAGTCCTGGCAGATTGTTATAAACTCAGAATATTAATTGTAACCACTAAGAAAATGATTTTAAATATATATGGAAAGGGAAATGAATAGGGAATCAAAAGAGTACACTAGAAAAATAATCAAGTCAATACACTGGAATGTATTGGAGGAACTGGAAGAATAATAATGAAGGAGTTAATTAACATAAATACATAGAACATATAGAAAACAGATAGCAAAATGGTAGGAGCCCTTCTTAACCAGTACTCACTTTAAATATAGATAGATTAAATTATCCAATTAGAAGGCAGAGATATAAAGAATTCTCCCAAACATTTAAAGAACAATTAAAATGAATCTTTCTCAAACTCTCTCCAAAAATAGAAGATGGAATACTTCTTTTTTTTTAAAAAAAAAAAAAGATGTTTTGGTATTTAATGTTCTTTGTGAAAAACCTGAAATACATAGGAAAGTCAAAGAAAAAAATATTAATAATCCATAATTTAGAAATAGCCACTCAGAATATTGATCTATTTCCTTCCTTATTAAAAAATACTGAACACACTTGGCATAATTCTAAACATAATTTTTTCTTTCGATGTGCCTTCTCTTTGTTGTTTAACATGGAGAATGTGCTTTACACCTGTGCAACACACCATCACTCCACCACTTGATGGGATTCTATTGAAAACATCAGCTTCTTGCATCTACAGCTAGAAAGGGGGATCTCCAGGAGCAAAGATGAGGGAACCCAAGATGGCCCCCTTTGAAGTGGGCTGGCCCAATGCTCTCATGACACCAGAACTGCCCAAAGAAAGATACCCCAGGGAGATGGGCTCCTCCTCCTTAAAACCCCCACAAGGCTGGCCACAGGGAGACCTCTGCTTCCTGCTACCCCTCACCACTCTCCACTTCCCAACCTCCCACACCCCCATGTTCTCAACCCTTTTAACTCCCTACCCCTCACTTCCCATCTCCTACCCCTTCCTTTCCTTTCCACCCATGCCTCCAGCCCACCTGCCTTATGTAAGAACAACGAAGACAGAAGCCTCATGGTCCTGACTCCTGGGAGGCCAGAGAGGGCCTGGTGGGGACACTGAAGATCATAATTTAAAATAGCCCATCTGACTGACGGCAGGAGCCTCTGGAACCTGGGAGGCTATTTCTAGATGTACCTCTTAACACTTCAGCCATAGAAATCCTTCTTTTGGGGTGGGAGGACTGGCTGGGACAGACCCATAAGAGAGAAATTAAGAGAAGCTGAGAATCAAACCCACTCCAACCAGAGCAGGAGTGGGGCTCCTGGAGAGGACCCCTCACTAGGACAAGCTTTGTGGCTGTAACGGGGTCTGGACACAGGTGGGGGGGCTCATTCCCAAGGTCAGGCTCACTTGCCTCACATGTATATTCAGTCCTCCCTAACGATGGCCAAAATGCTGAGGGTCAGGGAAATCTGAGATTGAGGAACGAGGGGATGGTCCACCCACTGAAGGACAGATGCCGTCAGCTCCAGGCCCAGGGCCCCTGGGCGTCACCCACCTCTGGCCTAGGCCCATCTAAGCCAGCCCTGTGCACCTTAGGATGGACTAGCCCAGTGGGATAATCTAGAGCTCAGAGGGATGCACACTAAACAAGAACCTTCTCCCACCCACTGCTGAGGGTATGATCAGGTGTAAACACAGAGGCTTCTGCTGAAGCCCCGGCTGGAGTAAGGGTCAGGTACCTGCCTCACTGCCCCGATGCCTTAGGTCATTCTCATGTGGAGGTGTCATGTGTGAGAGCAGCTATGTGACAGCAGGCCCCCTCCTCAGTGTGGGGCAGCAGCGAGAGGCACGGTGACTTCAGACTGACCTCACCTCACCAGTGGGCACTCCTGCCCAGGACACTAAAGCTGCATCCGGGACTCCACCCCATCACAGGTCCACACAGGGCAGACGTCAACGCATTTGTGCTGTGACAGCTCGAACCGGATCCCTTTGAATAACTGCTTCCATTGTACATGTTTTGCAGTAAGACAGTGGGTGGGGCTATGCCACTCTGGACACTGGTAAAGCAGCTCTGGAGGTCGCCAGCCAGTTTGCATGTCTGTGCCCACACCCCCAGGACACAAGGTGCTGCTTACCTGTGGCCAGCCTTCCTGTGCCTGCTGATCTCCTTCTCCCCCTCAATGATCCACTGCATGATCTTCTGGTTCTTCTCTGAGTCCTCTGAAGGGCCTGGCACCTCAGTACTGGCACTCTTCCCTGACTCAGTCTTCTTGGCATTTCTTTTGGAGGTTGTGCCGGCCTTCCCACTGTAGGCCAGGCTGTCGTTGGCATTGGGGGTGGTGCCCACACTCTCTAAGTGGCTTCGGGTCTTGGCTGTGTGACTGTGCAGCTCCGGGCCCCATGCAAAGCTGCTCTGGACCCGGCGGATGGCCTCGGCCTCAGCCTGCTCCTTGGGCCTGGCCACACCATGGTGGCTGTGGTGGTGGCTGTGCCTATGGAGATGCAGGCCAGCCGCTTCTAGCTTTGCCCCCAATTTGGGCACGTGCTTACTGTGCCCCAAGGTTGTACCCCCCAGCACTCCTGACATCTTGGGCATGTGTCCGCTGTCAGGGGATCGGTGGCCAGGCCCGGGCGACTGGCAGCCTGGAGTCCTCATAACCTGCTGCACATGCTCATCCAGGATGATCTCGGGGTTCTCCTCATGTGCATCCCGCAGCCCTGTGCAGCCTACGTCCGTGTAGCGGGGTGGGAAGCTGTGCCAGGCCGGGGCCAAAGGCAGCTTATGACTGGCCCCCAGGGGGGGCAGAGGACACATCGCCATCCTCCCCTTCTTCCTCCATCCGCACCACTTCAGTCACTCCTCTAGCTTCTCCTCTGCCTCCCGAGTCCGCTGAACAGCCTCCAGGCGGTGGATGAGCTCTGCAGCGAACTTCTGGGGCTCCACGCGAATTTCCTTTGGTATTCGGTAAGTACGAGGAATGTGAGGTAGAGGCACTCACCCGTTGACCTGGACGCTCTCCTGCATCTCCCTGCGGTGCTGCTTAGGGATCCTGTATGGTGGGATGCCATCCACACTGCTGTCAGTGAGGGATAGGCTGTCTGCGTCGCTGGAGAGGCTCTGCTGCTCACTGTCATTGGTGCTGGTGGCTGGAGCGAGGGCATAGCCAGAGTTGACATAGTAGGGGTGGACAGGCTCCCGCCAGGATCCATATCTGAATTCTCTGCCTTTGCTGTACCGTCTACTTGAGGAGGCCCGAGGGGCAGCTGTTTCCTGGAGCAGCTTCTGTGTCACCCTACCGGCGGGAGCAGGGTCTCTGCCATCATCTTCATCTATATCTTGGTCACATTTCCATTCCTCGTCTTCGTTCAAAGTGGGCAGATATCCAGATATGCCCTTCCCTGTCCCTGACCCAGAGCTCTGGTCACTACAGAGCTTTGGGCTCTCTGAACCTGTCCTTGTGTATTCCAAATAAATATCAGACTTGAGGAAGGAGGGGTAAGTATTCTCCTCCATGGTAGATTGGATTTCAGTCTGGGCCTGGTCAAACATGGCAGGATCAATCAGCTGCTTCATAATGCAGTCCTTTATGAAACTCTTGGTGGCTGGCTTAGTTTGCCTGGATACGATGCCATTGTTATCAAGGATGTACTTTCGGTAGATAGCTTTGGCCAGCTTCAGTCTCTTTTCCTCATTCGAGTCGCAGGGCTCCAGTTTCCTGAAGCCGGTGCAGACAAACCAGAAGTCCAGCAGGTCAGCACAGTCCTCCTGCTTCAGGAAAGTCCTAAACAGGTTTATCCCATCTTGATCGTCTAGTAAGGAGTGCAGTGACTTGGCCCACTTCAAGTACGGTGGGGTGGGTGAAGCACTGCCCTCAGGCTCATGCCCCAGGTCCAGATCTGAGCGCCTCGGAGTGGCTGTTGAAGTTTCGCCTTTAATACCAACACCTTTCCGGGAGCAGAAGCTGTGGCTGACAGGCCTGGGGTCTGTGGACACCAGTTCACCCTCCTCACCAGGCACTGGAGGTCTGGGGGCATCTTCGGTGAAACTTGCGAGGTCCAAGGGGAAACCCTGCTCTTGAATATTCATTTTGAGACTCTGCATCAATGAACAATGAGCGCTGCACCCTAATACATCAGTACTTATAGCCCCAAAGTGAATCAATCTGTCCTGCGCGCGGCAGCGGCGGCGGCGGCGGAGGCGGGGCCCGGGGCCCGGCTCCCAAAGCGGTGCAGCACTGCGCAGCCCGGCGCGGCCCATGCGCTCAGTGGCGGCGGGCGGGCCGGACGGGACGGGGGCGCGGCCCTGGGCAGACCCCATCGCAGCAACAGCGCGGCGGCCCAAGGCGGCCCGGGCAGGCCTCAGCGGAGCCGCCAATGCCAGCCGCCCACTCTCACCGGCTTGCTCCAAGAGGACACGAGTCCAGACCGACTCTGGCCGGTCCTGGGGCGGCAGCAGCGATCGTGTTTCCCCAGGAGGGGAGCTCAAGCCCAGAGTCCACGGAATACTTCTTAACTTATTCTGAGAAGTGCCAGCATTACCTTGATACCAAAGCCAAACCATGGCATTACAAGAAAACTATAGGCCAATATCCCTTAGGAATATACAATCAAAATTCCTCAACAAAATGTTAGCCAACTGAATGAAGGAGCGTATGAAAGGGTTTATACACTATGACCAAATGTGGTTCAACATACAAATCTCAATTCATACAATATAGTAAATGCCTAAAATAATGGAAAAATACATGATCATCTCAATTGATGCTGAAAAAGTATTTGACAAAATCCAATAACTTTTAATGACAGAACATTCAGCAAGTTATGAGTAGAAGGGAACATCCTCAATATGATAAAGGACATTTATGAAAAATTAAAAGATAACATTATAGTCAATAGTGACAGACTGAAGGAACTTTCCCCTAAGATCACACACAGAAACACACGCAGATCACAATACTGAAAACAATGAAGAGGAGCACTGATGAGTTGTGACACAACTTCAAGAGGCCTGTATACATACACTTGCAGACCCCAGAGGAGAGAAAAATGGGGGGTGATGGAAAAAGTATTTCAATGAAATATCTACAAATTTGATGAAAACCGTAAACCCAGAGATCCAAGAAACACAGAGAATGGGAAGAACAAGAAACATGAAAAGAACTACACCAAGGTCCATGATATTTAAATTACTTAAAATCAATGATAAACAGACAATCTTGAAAGTACCTAGAGAAAAAAAGAGACTTTACTACAGAGGAACAAAGATAAGGGTAAGAGTAGATTACTTGTCACAAACAATGAAAGCAAGAGGAGAGTGGAGCAATATCTTTAAAGTACTGAAAAATTAAACTGTCAACCAAAATTCTATATAGAGTGAAAATATATTGCGAAACAAAGGTGACTTTTTCTGAAATACAAAACCTTAAAGAATTAATCACCAAGAGGCATTCACTGTAAGAAATATTAAAGAATGTTTAAAAGAAATGTTAAAGTCCTCCAGGCAGATAGAAAATGACACCAGATAGACATTTGGATCTACACAAAGGAATGAAGAGCACCAGGAATTGCAACTTCATCCATAAACATGAGGGTGTTTTTCTTCTTTATGTAAATATCTTTAAGAGATAACTGCTTAAAGTAAGGATAATAACAGTGTATGGTAGGATTTACAACATAATGTACAGTAGAAGTAAAATGTATGCCAACAGGAGAGTAAAGACTAAGAGAGGAGAAATGGAAGCATACTGTTGGTTTTTGTCTATTTGACTCTTCTGATCCAATGGGCATGGCAAACTGTTTTCCTTTTTGTACCAAGACCCCAGCAAAGTGATCAGGTGAGCCAGGCTTTGAAATTGCACCCATCATTTAAATGTGAACACGGTGTAACTAGAGGGGCTGCATGCTGTGAACTGCAGACCCAAATTACTCCTCTCTGTTCTCTTCTCTGTGGAATAAGGAACTCTTATAGAAAACACTTCCCCTGTGTTTTTAAAGTGGATTCAGCTACACAGCTGTAATCGGTTTTGGTTGAGATTAGGAAAGCTGAATATTCGTCAAGGAGATTGTGTACCAAGCTGGGAACAGGGGCAACAGGTGAAAAGTAAAATGAGCCAAGAGCCCTGTTATTTTTGAGGGCATTTCAACATGACCTATGAATAATTTCACAAGAGGAAAGTACAGGTGGGAAAACAGAAAGAGCCTACCAAATTACTCAGTGCTGAGAGGTTACTAGGTCAAGGGAGGGACCTCTTTCTCAGAAAGGAGTTTGAAGCAGACCCAGGCCTAGGAACACAAAGACAGGGATTGGGATCAACACCAGGGAAGGGCCTGTGCAAAATCCTATGGGGGCTGCTGGTTTGGAAGGAGAGTAATCAGTCCCATGCTGACAATATAGAACAGACGAGTAGTTAGGAGGACAGTGTGGGCCTATGTGTATCTAGTTCAGAGGTGGTGGTTAATAAGGACTTGAGGAAATAAAAAATGGGATGGGAGAGTGTGCTGGGGCCGCAGAGGTTGGGGGCCACAAGTTGTTGGCAGTGCTGGAAAGCCAGGCTGAAAAATTGGCATTCAGTGTATTGGACAGAATGGACTCTACCTCTATACACCTGTGCAGAAGCATGAGGAAGTCCATGTCTAAAGAAAGGTCTTCTAGCACAGAACTTTCCCAGCTGTGCTCAGGGACAACCTTAGATTTCTGTGCCTGGTGTCAGGACCCGCTGCCCCCAAAGGGAAGAAAGGGTGCTGGACTAACAGGACTCTGGGTTTATAGTCTTCATTTCAAACAGACTACTCTGCCTTCCTTATGTGTGTGGAATGGATTAGTGTGGAAGGCTTTATTGGAATAAGCAGTTTCACTTTTAAAATTTTGACCACAATAGACTACCAGAAGATACAGGCTGCATCTTGGAAATGTACCAGTTAGATACAGGATGTATAGGATGGATTCTTGAATCCTAGCCTCCTGGGCCCGAGGTTGCCTCCAGTCCCTTGTGCTGCTTGGCATAAGCAACTTAAGTTACCACAGAGCTGCCATCTGCCTAAACAAGGTTAGAGAAAGTATCTGAGTATTGGTGGATGTACGCTCGGCCTTGACAAGGATGCCTAGAGGAGAGTATTTAAAGTGGTAAGTTTATGCCTGAAATCCATCAATCAGAATTTTTTTTCTGTTTTATATATATGATGACTGCAGGGTACCATTCACTGTTTCAAAATGGGGAGCCTGCCCACTGCCTGGGCCTTCCCCTTCCATGGAAGAAACCCAAAGTGTTCCAACTGCTCACGTAACTTCAATATCCCTATGGGACTCTGTTACTGAGGGTGCCATTATGGGCACCTCTTCCCTGGGGCCAAACACCATCTTGGAGGTGGAACTGCTCTCAACAGGATCATCCTTGGTGTTTCCTGCATTGGACCCCACACATCCCCAGGTTAAGGTCCCAAGTTAAGGTGCCATTCCCATGGATTTTCCATTCACCCTGAAAACATCTGCACCTAGACCAATCCGGTATCCTAGACAGTATCTGCTGGCAACGTAGGCCAACAGTGCTATCCACAGGACACCTGCCCTTGTTGTGCCAAGAACTCAGAAATCCCTCAGGCAGTAGGACCAAGGAACAATGTACACATAGTTTTTCCAAGCATGTCCACACCCAGCCCATTGTCTGCAGAGTCTGAAATGATTAGTCCTGTGACTTTCCCCTTCTGATTTCACCCTCCTTGCAGCAGGCACAGCTCCTGGGTATTCCAGACCTATCTCAGCTCTCGGTCCCCAGTCACCAACCCCACTCATTCATATAGCCCCAACCTCTATGTGGGGTTGCCCTACATGCAGGTGTAAAGTCCCCAGCTGCTAGCAGGCATCATGACAGCTCCCAGCCCCGGACACCACTAGAGTAGTCAAGAGATGTGGTTCATCTGAATGATGCAGGGAGCCAGCCTTACTCTTCCTATCAGAGGCAGCGGGACTCTAAGGATAAGGACTGGGGTCTGGCAGGCCACCGGCCATTCTTCAGATAGAACCTGCAACATCCAGCTGGTGAGGATGATTCAGAGATTTCCCCAGCCTATCCCTGCTCTTTGTCCTGTATTGCTCTCCTCCCCACCTACTCTCCTTCAGGCTCTTACTCCCTACCCTGAACTCTGGACTGAGTACCCTGACTGCCATCCTGCCTGGGGCCCTCTGAACTTGGTGCTGCATGTGGTCTCTCTTGTTGATTCTGGCAATCGCTCTCCCCTCAATCTTCCAATGCCCCTCACTGGCTGATGGTGTCCTGTCAGGTCCCCTTCCCTGGCTCCTGACTGAATCCATACTTCTCAGAGTAAAAGGGAAGTGTTTTGTTGACATTTCAGAATTTCAGAATGGTAACTCATGCCCAGAGGAATCCTGTTGCTCAGAACATTACTGCATGAATTCATGTTTGTATGGGAAAGGAATGAAGTTAGTATTATTTTCAATCAAATTTGAAAATGGGGGAGATACAAATTAAAACAAGAGTGAAGAGATATTTTTGCCCACTATTCTAACCAAAATTTAAAGGAATGATAAAACATATTTGAAAGTAAAAAATATTCACATAAAAAATTTGAGCATGTAAATGGTATGGCATTTTTGAAAGTTTCAGCAATATTTAAAAAACCTGAAATATTCAGACCCTTTGCATTTTAAGCTTATAGCCACGCTGTTAGCTAGGGTCACCTCTGAGTAGGAGGCTGAAATTTGGAAGGACTTCACAAGGAAGCAGTTATCTACTTTTAGAATTTTTTCCAAGAGAATACATGCATTATATACAGAATTATGTTTATAATTAAACTATTTAAATACACCTAACAGCAGATAACGTTGCTGTGTATTAGTCAGTTGAAGTAACTGCAAGCTGATGAGACAGAGGAAAACTGAAATATGAATGACTTAACATAACAAAAGCCTTTTGTGCGCATATAAATTTGGATGCAGTTGGGCAGGCGATCTCCTCTATAGGATGCCTCAGGGATCTGGGATAATTCAAGATGGTAGTCCCACCATCTCAACACAGGGATGCTATGCTTGCTGTTGAATGAAATAGGAAGGCTGGAACTGCCATACTGGCTCCCGGATGTCTGGATGTGACACTATTTCTGATCAGCTCTCAGTGACAACAGGTAGATGACCCTTCCTAACAACAAGTGGACTGGCAATGTAGTTTTCC